ACTGATCGTATGGGGAAAAACAGGAGAGAGTGGCGTTTGAAAGACAAACTGTGTAATGATTGTAAATAAGGAAATGGTTGCAGGAAAAATCCCTTTTGACCTTTAGAGCAACGATCAACATGCCTAATAGGACTGGATGAGGAGCCACAGTCAGCTTTCTACCACCTGCCTCACTGCTAGAAAACCGCAGCAACAAGTGGCTGTTTTGGATGAACGGCTGCAAAAAGATTTCTCTGTCCTTCTGTTGCATAAATAAACATTTAGAGTCTGCTGATTTTCACTGGGACTTTTAGCTGAAGCTCAGATTAGTCTCACATTGAAGTTTGAAAACCCAAGATTGCACATGTTTTTAAAAGAAATACCTGCTGAAGAACATGTTTCAGTAGAGGATCTCTGATGTTTTCGGTCTGCTTGTCTTCTTCATCATAAGTTCTTTCAGGAGCACAGTGATCAAAAACATGCAACGGTTCCACTTAGAGAAAAATCAAACCTGTTCCACACTGCAAAAAATATAAATCTAAATAAGTATATTTTTCTTAAAATAAGTGCATTTTTTCTTGCATTGAGGAGGTAAGCAAGACACTTTGCCAATGGAACAAGACAATTTACATTTAAAATAAGAAAAAAACAACTGTATTATCGTTTTTCAAGTCAAGGGTAAAAAATACTATTTCCATTGGCAAATAATTTTATTTACCTGCTAAAATTAAGGATAAATACACTTGATTTAAGAAGTTTTTACTTATTTCTAGATCGTTTTTGCAGTGCATGACTTTCTCAGACCCCGTTCTTTAAATTTATCAAAAACTTTTGTGTCTGAGCTGAAGACAAGAGAGCAGAGAGGATCAGTTTGAAGATCTCTGCAGGCTCCTACCTTTTATCATTTCCTGGAAGCGCTGTGCTAATAATTAGCATAGAGAAATAGAACTTTATTGTCCCACAATGGAGAAATAAACTGTGCAAGTTTAACTCATTCCCAGGTGGAGCAGTGGGCTGACACTGTTCAGCACCTGGGAAGCAGTGTGGGGTTAAGGGTCTTGCTCAGGGACCCAGAGTGCAGGCTTTGGAGATCGAACCGGGAACTTGCAACCTTCTCAGTGCTAAATGGGACTGCTCTAACCAGCACTCCCCCATGAGGGAGCATTATTCTAACCTGGTTTTGAACTTTGAGATGTTACCAAAGATTTTTCTGGATGTACAGGAGTCACCAGACCATCAAGAACTAGAAAAGTGAGGCTGCTGAGATCTGTCCGACCTGCGGGGAACCTGAAAAGCTCTCAAAGACTTTCAAAAATAGCAAATCACTGACAGAATACAACTGTCTGCGTAGCCTGGTGAACCTGAGGAGGGATTTGTTCCTTTGCATCCTTCAGTCTTGCATTTTTCTATTGGTGGCATGTTTGTCCTTCATGGTGCTGAACAGCTTTGGAAAGCAGAAACACTGGAAAAACAACCTAGAAATAAGTAAAAATGTCTTAAATTATGTGTATTTACCCTTAATTTGAGTAGGTAAATATGATGGTTTTCCAATGGAATCAGTATTTTTGCTCTTAAAATAAGATATTTAGATAAGATGCACTTGAAATAAGACAATGCAATTGTTTTTTCTTATTTTAAATAGAAATTGTTTTGTTGTATTGGCAAAATGTCTCTTTACCTTCTCAATTCAAGAAAAAGTGACTTATCTAGATTTTTATTTTTTCCGGTGAACTAAAAAATCGATCAATTCCAGTGGAGCAACACCTCATTTCTTTAAGAAGCAACATCTTGTTTATATCATCTTTACACAAGAAATGTTTTTTTTTTTTTCTATTATCAAATAAGTAAACCAAAGCACAGAAGTTAGGGGGGAAAAAGAAAAATGATGATTCTTGCAGATTTGGAATATGAATACACTGCAAAAACGTTCTGAAAATTAGTAAAAATGTCTTTAAACAAGTGTATTTACCTTAAATTTGAGTAGGAAAATAAGATGATCTGTCAATGGAATGAGCATTTTTTACCCTTAAAATAAGATAAATTAAATATTATGTGCTTGAAGTAAGAGACTATAGTCTTTTTTTCTTATTTTAAATGTAAATTGTCTTATTCCACTGGCAAAGAGTCTTACTTACCTGCTCAATTCAAGAAGAAATGCACTTGTTTTAAGAAAAATTTACTTACTTAGATTTACATTTTTTGCAGTGTAATGAAAATGAAATACTAACTTCTGCAGAACGATAGTCGTTAAACCTTAAATCAAATGCAGTAACTGTTACCTTTTCAATTTAGTTTCATTCAGTTTTATTTATATAAACACTATTCACATCAAATATCATTTAGCCGTAATTTACAGAAATTTCCCATTAAACGTCTCTGGCGGATTGCTCAAAGGTATCTATCTAAAACCAGCTGATTGCTTCCAGTTGGACTTTTCCAGGAGCCTGGATGAGCATGCGGCAATAGTAGATATCTGCTTACATTGAGCCGTTGATCTGCTGCAATCCCTCACACGATGCACACGATGACAGTGGAGGGAAAAATCACTGTATGGTGCTTTATGTTATTTATCTCAAATGTTTTTCTTTCCATAAAGCAAATATCAAAAGGTACCTCTGAATGGAAGCTTTGTCCCAAATGTCACTAAATAAACATGAGATCAAGTCAGAAATGGCTGAAAAAGGAACTTAGAAAAGTGTTAAATTCTGATGTCGAGCATCTCGATAGAACCGATATGGAGATGTCTTTTATCTCTTCTAAAAAAAATTAGACTTTAACAATTTATCGATCCAATGCCCAGCCCTACTTTCTATGTTAGAGAAGGTGACAGTAAACGAGTCCAGCTGTTTTCTCCTTCTAGATGTTGTACATCTATGATGAATTTATTTTGACTCTACTGTTTCACAGCGGTAAACGGTGAAAACACCAATTGAGTCTCTAATCCCGTTTTAAACTTTGTTTATGCTTCATTTCCAGAATTTGACCACACATGTGTAGAAGAAACTTAGAGCAACATCTTTCAGAAATGTCTTTTTGTCTCATCTGACGCGTCAGATTTCAGTGACATAGTCAAACAGGCAGGGCGTAGTGATGTGGGGCTCCAGGCTGGACTCCGGCCGTGGTGTCTGCGATGGTGCAGAGACGCCTGATCTATCGTGCTGCTGTGGTCGGCGGTGAGGCGGTCGTCTAAAGGAGAGGTTGTAAGAGCGGCGATATGAACCCAGTCTCCTCCAAGTCTTTAACTGGGGCTCAGTGGACATTCCTTTTCCACCAGTCAGTCTCTCCCCAGGAGCACAGCTCCTTTCAAAGTCCTCCTCCGGTTCAGAGCGCCTGCAAAGTGCAAGGAAGGCGGCTAACCCAACCAGCAGCAGGGATAGTCCTAACACTACCATAATGGTGAACTCTGGGTCATGGAGGTCTGATGGATGGGATGGAGGCTGCACCACTGCTGGAGACGTGCTGGTGGTTGTCGAGGTGGAGAGAGTGACGTTTTCACCATAGGAGGAGGTAAAGATGATGTCGGAGTCTGGGCTGGTGGAGTCCATTTTGTCTCTGTCTCAGATGGATGGAGAAAAGCATTTGTTAGATACTTGAACTAAATATTTTAATGTGTGCATGTTTGTGCGTTGATTCCTAGTTGTCATCATTTTGTTTAAAGGGCAGCTCCCTTAAAGTTTGACATCCTTGGGCGTGCAAGTGGCACAGTTAGCGAGGACGACCCGTGTACGAAGGCCTTAGTCCTCGACGCGGTCGACCCGGTTTGAAAATACGGCCTGTCCCGCATGTCTCTCCCCCTCTCTCATACCCCCTTTACTGTTTAGCCTACTGTCGAAAAAACAAGCCACTAGTGCCGTAAAAGACATAAAGTTTGATATGCATGAATTTGGCCAACTTTAATCTGATGCGCCTGAATTCAGTTTCAGTTCAGTTTATCTATATAGCGGCAATTCACAACACGTGTCATTTCAAGGCACCTTACAATTCAGCCAGATCATACAAGTTTTCTTTCTAAGAAAAAACAGCTGATAGCATCAATTCATTGACTCGAAGGCAATCCCTCACACTAAGCATGCTT